TCAGGCGACGTGCTTCAGGGTAGAGAGGGGCTGGTGGGGGGGGACGGCACGATCTCGCAGGCGTTGAAGGTGGCCATGCAGTAGAGGTCAGTTCCCTGCGAGGCAGCCGTCGCGGAGGCGTTGGGGATCTTGTCCGTCGCTGTCTCCGACACATGCACATCCTGAGACGCGAGAGAAAACCCCTAATGAATCACACACGACACACACACTCGACACACACGACACACGACACACGACACACACACACACACGACAAGCGTGGAGCACGCACCTTCATGCCTACGCCAAGGGCGTTGGCAGCAACCTGCATGACCTTGGTGTGCAGGCCCTGGCCCATCTCAACACCACCTGAAGAAGAAAGTCGCAAAAAAGGAATAAAAGTTGAGCCAACCAGTGGCGAACAAGAGCGAAGCTGCAGGGAGGGAGCACGTACCGTGGGTGATGAGTACGGTGCCGTCGGTGTAGACGTTTACGAGCGACGAGCCCTGGTTGAGCGGGGTGAAGGTGAAGGAGATGCCGAACTTGGTGGGAATCATGGAGATGCCGCGCTTGCGGAATCGGTTCTCCCGGTTGAACTCGGCGATGGCCTTCTTGCGCTGGCGCAGGTCGCTCTGGGCCTCGCACTGGTCCCACAGCTCGTGCAGCTTGAGGTTGATCGGCTGCCCGAAGTGGGTCTTGTCCTCGTACAGATACATATTCTTCTTACGCACGTCCTCCGGCTCCATCTCTGCCAAAAGCAGCAGCGAAGGGCTTCGTGTCAGGCCTAGAGTCTAGTCGAGCGGGGGGAGGAGGGAAAACGCACTGAGCTGGTGGGCGATGTGTTCGACCCAGGCCTCGGTGACGATCATGCCCTGGGGACCACCGAACCCTCGGAAGGCGGTGTTCGACGGCAGGTTGGTCTTGCACACGCGACCTTCACCAGGCAAGAACAATGTTGATTAGCAACATACAATGAAAATTCATTTTAATATTCATATTAATAATAATAGAAAAATATGGGGCGGCGTACCCTTGACCCGGAAGTGGGGCACGTTGTAGACGTTGTCCGAATGGAACAGGGCGCGCTCCAGAACAGGCCACGACAGATCGTGCGAGTAGCCACCGTTGTTGTACAACTGAAAATGGAAGAGACATCGTTAGCAGTGGGCCTCTGACGCTGAAGTGGTGGCAGTAGGAGCATAGCAGGTGTAGTGTAGTAGTAGTCGTCGTCGTCGTCGTCGTACCTGGACATCGACGGCGGTGATGTTGCCCTCGTTGTCGTAGCCGGCCTTGTAGGTGCCCTCGAAGGGATGCCTCTTGCCGGTCCACTCCATGTCCTCATCGCGGCCCAGCAGCAGTCGCACCGGCCGGTTAAGGTGGTGCGCCGCCACCGCCGCGCAGCACGAGTAGATAATGTTCGACGATTCCTTTTGTAAAAAAAATATAAGTAATTAATTGATTAAACAATCAGCAAAAATGGTTGACAATAAATTCACAATAAATAAATAATAAATAAATAAATGTACCTTGCCGCCGAAGCCGCCGCCGATCCGTCGGAGGGAGCAGGAGACCTTGTTCTCGGGCATGTCCAGGACGGCGGCCGCGTGCTTCTGGGTCTTGTTGGCGTTCTGCGTCGAAGCATAGAGCACCATCTCCGTGTCCAATGGCTGCGCGATGGTGATCTGCGGCTCAAAGTAGAAATGCTCCTGGCCACCTGAATAGAAATTCAATTCAGCGTGTGAGCGAGTCTGTGGAGCGTGTGTGCGAGAGCTTGAGCGAGAAAAGAATTAGAGAAACAAATATACCGATGCGCACGCGGCCCTCAACAACATTCTTGGACTCAGCCAGTCCCTTGGCCACGTTGCCCTTTTCAATCTGGAGATACACACGACAATCGGGTCAACCACCAGTAGTAAGGCCAACGAGGTGCCGTTCAATGCAGTCGACAGGCAGAACGTGACGCACCTTCTTTTCGAGCGGGAAGAAGCTCTGCTTGGCCACGGCGTCCTCGATGGAGAAGATAGGCTCCAGGTCCTCGTACTCCACCTCGACGAGGTGCGCGGCGTGCTTGGCGGTCACCTCATCCTCGGCAACGATGATGCCTGCCATGAACAATTACAACACGGTCAGTCTCAATCACACCACCACGTACCACCACGGCAGGGCGGGGTACCGATGGGCTGGCCGACGGTCTCTACGACTTCGCTGGCAAAGACCTCCTCATCGTGCACGATGTCGCCAATGATTTTCTCGCCGGGGATGTCCTTGTGGCTGAAAAATCCAATGACGCCGGGCACCTGCAGGGCCTTGGAGGCGTCGACCTTCCTGAGCTTGGCGTGCGGCCGCTGGCTGACGACCAGCGAGCCGTTCAGCTCGCCCTGCAGCCTGGGCATGTCGTCGATGTAGACGGCCTCGCCCGTGACCTGACGCTCAGCGGACGCGTGAACGATCGATTGTCCTGAGGGCAACACAACCACCAGCGCGAGTGAGTTGATCGATCAAAAGCACGACACGACACACACACCCGGCACGCGGAGCGAGAGACGCACCCACGACGGGCTGATCGCTTCCAGCAAACACTTGCTTGCCCTTGGGGGACTCAGCGGTGAGCGGCCACAGAGCCGACAGGTACGACGGCGGGATAACTGGGCCGTTTTTCTGCGAGGGTTGGGGAGGGCCACGTGCCGTGAGCGCCACAAGGCTCTCTGGGGAGGGGGGAGCGGAGCGCATACCATCTTCTGGGCGACAGCGAGGTAGTACTTGAAGAAGAAGCTGAGCGCGAGGGTGGTGCGGTACTTCTCCATGCCGCCGGGAGTGCCCTCCTTGAGGGTGACCTCCTTCCGCAGCACGTCCACGGCATTTTCGAAGGTGTCCTGATTCCACTGCTTGCCCACCAGGAACGCCTGCGTCTCCTTGGCCTGCAGCGTGAACGGCGCCAGGCCGCCAAAGGCCAACCGCGCCGACGTCACTCTTCCCTGCACAATTATTAGCAATGAATGCAAATACATTACAATGATCTAATAAATAAATCAGATACAACATTTTTAAAAAATAATAAGACCCAGTAAGTACCGAATCATCGAGGGCGACGTTGAAGCCGGCGTTGACGATGGCAATGTCGTCTTCGCGACGACGCGCCTGCTTGTAGGCCTCGACGTACTGGTTCTCGTGGCTGTACGGGATCACGACCGAGGTGAGCACCTCGTCGTGGTGCAGGTCGACCTTGCGATAGCCCGGCTGGAAGAAGTCGCTCGCGTTGACGACGCGCTCGCCGCGCTCCATGGACTTGAGCCGGAACTGGGCGTTGAGCGCGACAAAGACCGGGTTGAGATCGGAGATGGGCGAGGCCGTCACGATGTTGCCGCCCAGGCACGCGCCGTTCCTGATCGACGTGCCCGAGAACCACTGCAGCTGCTCCGTGATCGCCGCCAAACTGCAAATCAAGCGAAAGGTCAGCAGCCAAGCAGCAGCAACGGAAGAAGCGATGGAGAAAAGAGGGGCGAGCTGGGCGCAAGGCACCTCCTGGCTTGAAGGCGTCCTTGCCCTGGTCGTTCTTGCTCAGATAGGTGTTGGTGTGCTCGAGGGACTCCCACAGGGTGGTAAGCGGGACGGCCGAGCCCACTTCCACGCCGCCGTCGAGGAAGGCGACCTGGTTGAGCTCGGGAATGTGGGCCGCCGAGATGAGGATCGGGTAGTGCTTGCGGCCAAATCGCTGCTCGATACCGATCTCGGTATTGCCGACCACGATCTTGGCGTGGTGGTGGGTCGCCTTGAGCTCGAGCAGGTGCTCCAGGGTCGTGGGACGGAACCAGGCCGCCCGAGTACCCGTGATCTATGCACCACATGGCGACTTTAAATGATTTTGTGTTCCTGCATGTCGTGTGTGTGTTTTGTGTGTGTGTGTGTGTGTGTGTGTGTGTGTGTTGTATAGATGCGCGCAGTGCTAGATTGTATACCGCAAGGGGATGGGTGGACCGCTCGATCAGCTCCTGGGGGAAGTGGTGCAGCTTTTTCAGCGTCTCAGACTGCTTTCCCTTGTACTCCTTCTCCAGCGAACTGTCGACACAGAGAAGGTGGTGGTCAATTAATACAACACTTGAATAAGGTGGGTTGGGCGCATGCAGCGTACCGGAGGGCGTCGACAATGGGCCGGTAGCCCGTGCAGCGGCACAGGTTGCCGTCGATCGACTTCTCGAGCTGGTGGAGCGAAGGGGCGGGGAACTTCTGCAGCGCGCTGTGGATCGACATCACGAAGCCGGGCGTGCAGAAGCCGCTGTGGTGTGATTGATTGGAGTGGAAGAGGCAAACGCGTGCGTGCGTGAGTTTCCAAGAGAGGCTCGAGTGCAGAAGTCACGTGCACGGGTGGAAGGAATGTAAAGGAATGTTTCAAGAAGAGGGTGGTCATAGTACCATTGGGAGCCGAAGAGATTGGCCATCTTGTCCTGCACGGGGTGCAGCTTGCCGGAGCGGGTGGAGCCGAGACCCTCGACGGTCGTGACCTCCATGCCATCGACGAAGCAGACCGGCACCAGGCACGAGTTTAGCGCGCGGTGCACCACCTCGCCCCGCTCTTGGTCCCAGTGCGCCACTGTCACTGTGCAGGCTCCGCAACCACCTGCACCATAGTGTAACAAGATTATAAATCAATTTGCTCGAATCGCGGCAAAGAAAAGAATAAAGATGATAAATATAATATCAAACGTAAATTTCAATAATCGGAGAAAAATGCTGTGCTACACGACCGGGCAAGTTTACCTTCACCACAGGCCAGCTTGGTGCCGGTAAGGCCTTGGTCGCGCAGGTAGTCGATAAGGGTGAGATCGGGCTCCACTGATTTGGGCGCATGCCGTTTGCCGTTGATGTAGAAGACCACCTCGTGTCGCGTCTCCTTCAATGCGCTCTGAGATGCCGACGGGAGACCCGAGGGTGCCGAAGACGGTGCAGACGTGGGAACGCGGGCAGTCTTCAGCATCTCTTCGGCCGCAGCTGCCGACATTTGCGTCGGCTTGGAGGGTGTAGTGCTCGCATTCGAGCGGCGCGTCATCACGCTCGAAGCCCCATTCCGTTGCAGCGAAGTCGATGAAGAGGCAACATGATTACGCGCAAGAAGCGCAGCTCTCGATGATGAAGATGGCAAGCGCCGGCCGTGTCTAAGCATCATCTTTTACCAATAAAATAAATAATAGACGGGAGATAGATTTGTAGAGAGGGAGCTTGATACAATACAACAAATGCCCTGCGCGAGGTGACTTTGGTTCTCCCTCTCCGGGTAGCGGTGCTGATGTATGAAATGGGTGCGCACGGTTGCCTGTGTTCGCCAATTTTGATTTTCTTCCCCTTTTCTCTTTCATCTTTTGTCGACAACTTTTTCCCTGTCATTTCCCTGTTCATATCCTGCCCAATCGGGCCATCAAGTGGCATCACAAAGGCTCTCCTTGCATGGCAAGACCTCAACCCTGGAAAGGAAGGAGACACAAGCCTTTCAGGTAACAATCTCTCAAACCTCTACAACATTGACAGCTCCACAACATAGCTTGAGTTCCAGGGCGGGTGTTGGTTGGTTGGCTGGAGAGCCCTGATTTTTGCCAGTTCGCACAAAACGAAAGCAACAAAGGGGGCAGAGATGCGGCAGGAGGAGGAAGAGAGCAGCAGAGGCGAGGTGGACCAAGAGGGCGTGCTGGGGCTGTGCATGGGGAAAGCGGACAAAAAGGGCAAGAAGGTCCAGCGCAAAAAGCCCAAGGAGTTCTACTTCAATCTTCTTGGTGGCGCCCTGTACTATTACAAACAAGCCGAGGTATTATCACCCCCCGCGCCTCTTGCTTTCTCTCCTCTCCTTCCTTGCTCCTTTATTATTAATTTTGCACGACTGTCTCTATTTAATTATCTATTTATTTATTTATTTATTTATTTATATTTGCTGCCAGTCCTCAGAGCCGAGTGGAACGATCAAGCTGGGCGAGATGACCTTCACACCGCAGCCTGAGGACGGCGAAGGCGAACAGTTCTGCTTCCAGCTCGCCAACGACAAACTCGACTTTCTCTTCATCGCCGAAGGTTCTCTCCACACACGCACCGCACACGCACGCCACGCAGGAACAACCGTCGCTTGTGCTGAGTGGTCTACACAACACAACACAACAGACGAGGCCGACTACCGGGCGTGGGTGACGGCGCTGGAGGCCAACCAGGGGAAGGAGCCGCGGCCTCCTCTGTCCAAGGAGAAGGCCCAGGGCCGTTTCCAACGCCTCACCCGACGCACCACCAAGAACCTGGCCGGCAAGGCCGCCTCCTCGCCCCTCGGTACATTCACGCACAAACACACGACACGACACACACGACACACGCACTAAGTGGGGCTCTGGTGCGGTTTGGCTGAGACTTTCACTTTCAGGCAAGCGGGCAATCCGCAACAAGCTCCCGAAAGAGATAACCGAGCTGATCGCGGCGCTGAAGGCGATCATCCAGATGGAATCCAAATCGTCGAAGAAAGCCGGTGCGTGCGTGAGCGTGTGCTTTGCCCGTACGCGCGGGCGCATGGCGCCAACACACCCAACCTTACGCCGTGTGTGTCGTGTCGTGTGTCGTGTGTTCTGCTCTAATTACCAGATCGGATCGAGGACAACATCTACAGGATCGGTGTCAAGATGTATTTCCTCGTGTCCGATAAGAAGCTCCGTATCGAGGACCTGGCCGGTGCGCCACCTTTTTAAGCAAATTGTTTTCTTATTTTCTTATTTTATTTCGTATCATTTGCTCACCTGTGGATGGTTGCAGTGATGGACAACCCCTTCCGTAAGGCGCTCGTGCTCTTCTCCAAGATTCGGTTCCAGGTCCACGTCAAGCGGGTACGTTCCCTCTGATTTCTTCCCCTTTGTTTGCGTGCCTCGCGTGTGTGCGGCCGTGATCGCGCGCGCGTGTCGCTCACCCGGATTGTGTGTTGTGTTGATGTGCGCCGCGCGCAGGACAACCAAGCGGACATCAACTTTGACGTGCTACGGGAGAAGCTGGGCGAGGTGCGCCAGTTCGTTGCCGAAGCCGGCGAAGGTCTCAAGGGGCTGCTCGCCTCCCACATGAAGCCCCGCAACATCGAGAGGATAGATGAGGTTAGCCCCTCTTTTTCTTTTTTTATTTATTTTATTGTTCTTTATTTTATTGTTCTTTATTTTATTATATAATTTCTATTTGGCAGTCTGCTCACAGTCGAGTGGGGGACACGCAGGTCATTTCGTACGTGACGGACCCGGACGTGGTGACCAGGATCCTGCTCGATCCCCTGCTCGACGACGAGCTGTTCAACCTCGAGAGCGCGGCCAAGCACTACTCCCAGTTCTTCTACTACGCCGAGGGGAGCTGATGCCCCACATCCCCAAACAACCGCACACTCACCACCGCACACACTGCATTGTATACTTGGCATTCTCCAAATTGTTCAAAACGCAAAGCGCACACGTGTGCGGTGGTGGTGGTCTCAGTGGGCGGCCGCGGCGGCGGTAAGCGGGTCCTGGACCTTGATGACGACCTTGCCGCGGGCCTCGCCGCGCTCGAGCAGCGCGTGGGCCTCGGGCAGCTGGGCGAGGTCGTCGAACACGCGGTCGACGTCGGGTCGGATGACGCCCTCCTCGACGAGCCGGCGCACCTGCTCCAGCACCTTGCCGTCGGGGCCGCAGGTGACGTAGTTGACGAGCACATCCTTCTCCTTCTTCATCTCCACCTGCTTCTTCACGATGCTCCACCAGCCTTTCATCGCACCCTGTGTTGTGTGTGTCGTGTGTCGTTCTGTCAGTCGCACGACACGACACGAACAGCGACACACGCACACGCACACGCGACGCACCATGAAGGGTCCGTGTTCGTGGATCAGATCGAGGACCAGAGGGCGCAGGGAGAGGTACTTGCCCCCGCGCTTGAGGAGCTTGACGCACTGGGCCTCGGCCTCGTCGGTGCCCACGGTGTCCAGCAGGACGTCGTACTCCTTGCCCTCACCGGCCAGGCGCGCCGCCCAGTCGGGTTCGCGCGTGTGGTCGATCACCTCACCGCCGCCGGCGTCGATGAGTTGGGTGAACTTGGGCACGTTGGGCGCCGAGCAGACGGCGCTGGCGTGGTGGCCGTAGTGCTTGAGCAGCTGAAGAGCGATCACTCCGACCCCGTCGCTGTCGCCGTTGATGAACACACGTTGCCTGTCCGTCTACACACGACACGCCCACGTTCGGGAGAAATGGGTGAGGCCAGAAAATAGAAACAAGTCGTGTGAGAGGAAGCGCTAAGGCGCACCGTAGCACTGGGGTTGAGCGGGGACGGAGAACCGACTGGGCCAAGCTGACCAGACTCGACAAGGGCCTGCGTGTCGTGTGTCATGCGCGTGTGCGTCGAAAGGAGGGAGTTATGGCTTACACGTGCTGAGCAGTCACACCCGAGGGGCGTGGCATACCTTCCAGGCTGCGACAGCCGCGGTGGGCAGCGCGGCGGCCTTGACCGAGGTCAGATTGGCGGGCGCCTGGGCAAGCGCCGGCTGTTCGCAACCGTGGTGAGAGCAGCCATTAGTATTTGTTTATTTTTACATTTACCTATTTATCTATTTATCTATTTATTATTACATTAACATTATTCTGCCGCACCTCTTCAACGAGGACGTACTCGGCATTGCAGCCATCCCGGAAGAGCGACGTGGAGCCCCACACGCGATCGCCCACCTTGAAGCTCCACGCACTCTTGCCCGTCTGCACTACCGTGCCTGCATCACCATCCTGTGAGTGCGTGTGCGTGTGCGGTGGTGCGTGTGCGGTTTGCACGCGTGCGTGTGCGGTTGGTGAGGGCATGGCAGGAACGCACCAACGCAGTCGAAGCCGAGGGTCATGGGACTCTCCTTGGCGCGGGCGCGGAAGAGGATCTTGCGGGCGTAGCCCTTGCGCATGGCCAGGTCGATCGGGTTGACGCTGGTGGCTTCGACCCGCACCAGGACGTCGTTGGTCGACGGGTTGAGCGGCGGCACGAGCAGGTCGTCGCGCACCTCGAGCCGCGAGTGCGGGTCGCCCTCGCCAAACGACGCCAGCCGCACGCCCCGCATGCGCGAGGGAGCCACGAAATCGGTGGAAGAAGATGAAGATAGTGATGAAGAGGAGAGAAATCGGAGTGTAGATGAGCGCGGCACGAGAGGCTGCACGACAGTGCGAGTGCAGGAAACTGCAGGAGAGAGCACGGCTTGTCGCATCGTGATGAAGAGGCCAGACAAAAACAAATATTTATTTTCTTAAATACCAAAGAAAAGAGCTTTTCTCGTTTCATCTTTGTCTTTCCAAACTTGGGCTTGCACGAAGTCGACGGGGCAGCTACGGTATGGTGCGGACAGTGCTCCTGCGCTTCAGGCAGCAAAAGTCCAGGAGGAAAGGTACCCACTTCGCAGTTAACGGACACGGCAAACACGCAGAGCCAAGTGTTGGGGAAAGCCAGGGTTCATGCGCAAGGCCCCGCCTTTGCCAAAACGTACACGGTGGTCGGGATCGGCAGTGAGCCGGACCGAATGGGCAGAAGACTACCCGTACAAGCACACAAGGGGCCACGGACGCCGACTTCGTCCTATACCTCTGCCGCCTCAAGTGCTGTAAGGGACACTTCGAAAAAGGTTCGTGCGGGCGAAACAGACGCAACGTATGGTGATTGGCGGATGTTGCCTACATTCAAAATCCAAAAGGAAGTTTCCGAGGCGAAGAAGAAGTTCAGTCCTGTTCTTCATCGCCATGGTGGTCTCTAGAGCCTTTGTTCACTCACCGTGAGGTCAGTAACTCTCAGTGCGGCGCAACCCGACAGGCCCAGTTTACCCGACCAGGTGGTGGTTTGGCCAAGTGGAAGATGGTAGTGCTTTAGATTCAAACAGATCTTAGAGTGTACCCTCCGAGCGTGTTCTCTCAACAATAACAACAAAAAGAATAAAAGTACATAGTTGAGTTTGATTTTGTACACTGACATGGCTCCGTAGATGCGACTACGTCGTCATCTTTGTGGCCTCTTGCTGCCGGTCCGCTGCACGTCGCACACCGAGGAGTGGTCATATCCCGAGGAAGACGACGGTGTCGTTGTCGAACTGGAACTCGACGTCGTTGTAGATGCGGAACTCGAAGTCGAAGATGGAGTCGTCGTAGATGAAGATGTAGAAAAAGATTGAGCGCCGCCAACTGCGGTGCTGTCGCTCACGCCGACGCTCAGGTGGCTGTTGAAGAGGAGGTGAGGCGGCGGTGGCGGCTCCAGCTCGAGATCCGACGGCATGAGGCCCTCCTCGGACAGCACCACCGAGGCGATGCGCTCGATCGGGTCCGACGCGAAGTCGATGCCCCAGCGCGCCGACTTCTGGCGCACCACCTCGAGCAGCTGGCGCCGCAGCCAGGCCTCCACCTCGTCCCGGTCCACCGGCGCAGCCTCGCCGTCGCCTACCATCCCACCGCGGCCGCCCGACGGGAAGAGGCCCTGAGGCGGCCACGTCTCCGACGCGCCGAGGGTGTTGTCACGTCCGCCATTGGCGCTGTTGTAGTTGTTGAGGTGCTGGTGCCTCCGTCGGCGGAGTTGAGCGAGCAGGGCCGAGTGTCGAGTCAGCGCGGCTTCTGTGGCGTTGTTCGGGGGTGGTGCGCCAGTGGCGGTGGCGGTGGCGGTGGTTGAAGATGATGAAGATGAAGATGAACGCGAAGATGATGAAGAAGAGGAGCGGGTGGAAGTGGTGGGTGTGGGTATTGTCGACATGGTGGACGTGGTTTGATCGAACGTGCTGCTGCTCGACGTGGAAGGTCGAGGGGCCGAAGAAGAAGATGAAAAAGAAGAGGCCGAGGTACTAGATGAAGATGACGCAAAGATTGGAGGAGAGGAGGTTGAAGAGGTCGTAGTGGGGGCGGTGTCCATCGCATCCGAGGAGTCCATGTCCATGTCGTGGTACTCGGGGAGTTCCGAGGAGGGGCGATAGGGGTTATGGTATCCCCCAGGCGGGTCGTGGTCGTCCATCTTTTTGTGTGAATCTAGATTTTCTTCCTCTGCCAAGCGCTGTCGTGTGCGGCGGTCGAGCAGTGGATGCGGCGAGTGGTAGAGTGTGCTATGGGCGGTTGCGGCGGTTGTCAGTTCTTTTCCCCTGGCACCTGGCGTTGCTCCTGTGGCCGCGTTACTGCCGAGTTCGAGTTTCGTTGGGGTAACTAACGACCTCTCTTTGCGTAGCCCCGCTCCGCCGCGCTCAGTCAGGACCTGCGACACGCACACCGGCCGGTTGAAGTGGAAGAGGTGGTATCGGAGGGATACAGTGCGCGTGCAGCTCTCAGTCTGACTGCGGCTTCGTGACGCTTCTCCTGGCGCTACGGGGCGGGGGTAGGAACGTAGTTTCATCACAGCCCACAAAGCACCCCAAAGGCCCGATAGAGCAGTCGACACCCGCGAAAACAGAAGCACACACTCGGCCAATGGGCCACGAGATCGTGTAATCACGCTTATTTGCTAAAGTTTGAAATTCCCCGCCTCTGGGCGTTTTTCGGTTGAGATTTCTTGTGGGGGGGGACAGACCCCTCCATGGCTGGTGCAAGACAGCTTGCCCTTCTGTGCTGCCTTAGGTCCTATTGTTGGCTGTTATGACCTTATTTTTCTACATTTTTTATTAAGCAATACGCTTTGCACACATAGTGATATTTATTGCACATTATGCTGAACATGGGGGTCAGCATGTGAATGGTTGTTCCAGATTTCTCATGGAATGTCGGGAAATTGCTGGAAATATGCAGGCAGACCCAGGAACAGCAGCAACCTGTGACGAGACTTGAGTAGCAGAGAAGAGCACCCCCGTGCGCTCTAGATAAAGACTTGGCAAGATTGGAACCCTGCAACACCGGCACGCGTGAAGGGGTACGGACGACCACACCAACCGCCATGTCGGCCTCGTTCTCTCTCTCCATTCTTTCATTCCATTTCGTTTCGTACTCCAATTTTCATCCATTTAATGGCACGGCCGTTGATCAGCATCTCGCTTCTCCAATCCGTGTGATTTCCTTCAGGAAGGACATCAACGAGCACGGACCCATAAGGGTGATAGCGAATCTCTCTCTGGGGATTCAGCCGCCCCGCCCCCGCGCGCGAATAATCTCGTAGCATGCTGCCTCGATCCGTGTCGCCCTTGCCGCTCGGCAGCGATCTGCCGCCGCTCCGCATGTTCGGCCGGCCCCGGCGTAGCGACAGCCCCGCCCCATCCCTCTCCTCTTCTTCTTCCTCGACTTCTTCGCTCGGCAGCTGCCTTGATGCCGTGCAGCCGACATCGTCTTCCTCCTCCTACGTCGACCACGACGGCTACACGATAACGACCTCCGTAGAGGGCGAGGGCACCATCGCTCCCCATCGCGGCGGCCACCTGCCGGCATCGGCGCCCGAGCACCAGCAGGCCGAGCACCAGCGGCAGCAGCAGCTGCCCACGGCCTTCCACCCGCTGCAGCCGATGAACGCCCAGTCCCATCAGTTCGCCTCGTCGTTTTCGCCGCCGCTACCGCACGAGGCCCGGGGCGCGGCCGGCCCCGGCTCCTACCCGCCATCGGCCTCGCTCTCGGCCTTGGCCCACTCAAAGCTCATGGACCCGTTCTCGTCGGGCATCGTCGGGTTCCCGATGACGGCGTCGGCTAGCACCACCAGCAGTGCCAGTGCGCACCCGCCGCCGTTGGCGCCGTCGTCGGCGTCGATGGCGCGCTTCAGCAGCCTGATCGACGGACTGGACACGGTCCAGCCCACCACCACCACCACGAGCACCCCTTCCAACGGTGGCGGACACTATGACCGCTCGATGACCACCACCACTACACCGTCGCACCTGCCATTCCCGCTCTCGCGGGACCTCCACCCGCCCTCGTCTTCGCCCTTCTCCCCATTCCACGCGCTGCCGCCACCACCAGCCTACGGCGGCCAGCCGACCCCGACCTCGTCGTCGTCGGCTTCGGCCTTCCAGCCGCTGCCGGACTACGGGCCGTCGTTCATGCCGCCGCGGCACCACCCGCGCACCTACTCGCCCTCTCCCTCTCCCTTGCCGCCGCTGCATCCGCCGCAACCTCCGCATTTTCCTGCGTCGCGCGGGACCGCCGCGTCACCTCCTCCTCCCTACGCAGTCGGCCCCTCAAGCAACCCGCAGTACTATGGGCACAACCTCCACCAGCGCCCGACGTCGACGTCGACATCAATGACGGCGGCCGCGGGCTCGCTTCCGGCTCGAGCCGGGGGCGGTGGCGGCGGCCACCATCCCTCGGCGGGCTCGTTCGCTCCGCCCACGCCCACGTCTGCGTCGACAATACCGGCCGGCCACGCTTCGTCGTCGTCGCTCCACTTCGCCAGCTCTGGGGCGTCGCCGTCGTCGCTGCCGTCGCCCAGCACGACGTCGTCGTGCCAGCCTAGTGCGTCGCCGCGGGGCGAGCCCTCGTGCCCCGAGTTTCAGCTCAATCTGCCGACCCACCAGGCCGATGCCGAGCTCATCGAGGAGGTCTACATCTTCGGCCAGAACTACAAAGCTCACTGCAGGTGCGCTCTGTGTCGCGTCGTGTGTCTCGTGCGCGTTCTAATTCGATTTCCCGATTGTTCTCATCCAGGGAGCTGTACCGAGCTACGCGGGAGGGGCTGTTCGCCCTTGCGCAGGAGAACGTCGCTCGCTTCTGGCCGATGGTCGGTCGATTTCAGCGCCTTCTGTCCCTGCACGCGGTGATCGAGCAGGTCGTTCGTTTCGACAAGCTCTTCTATGAGGTGAGCAGTAGACCCCGACGCGCGCGTGCAGCGTGGGTGGTCAGAGCCGCGGCTCATAAGTGATGACTGACTGTGGCTGGGCTGCCAGGCGCTCGTCGAGGCAGCCGTGGCGGGTATCGACAACCGCCGCATCGACTCGGCGAGAGCCGTGCTGGGCTTTGCCCAATCTTTGCCGTCCTGGACATTTCACGCGGCCTCGCGCTCGCTACCGCCTTCGCTCTTTCACCCAAAGATGACGCGTACGCTTCTTTCTTTCTTGCTCCCCCCCTCCTTGCACTGTGCACTGTACCGTGCACTGTGCCAGTCTAACGATTGCGCCACACACACACCAACAGTGCTAAAGCGCAGCGCGCGTGAGATGATGCTTCGCGCGCAAATCTGTTACTTTGGCGGCCTTCTGGCGGCTGTGTTCAATGAGGCCGTCCTTGGCCGACCAGTGGCGCAGGTCCTCGCCGACCCGCACCTTCATCTGGCCGCCGCGCAGATCGCGCTTGCGGCCGACGGTGGGGCGCACGCCAAACGGCCGCGGACCGCCAACAACAGCGACAGCAGCTACTACGACCAGCACTACTTGAGCTCCGGCGGCAGTGGCGGTGGCGAGGAGAGCTCCAACGATGCGTGGAGCGTGAAGAGCAACAACACCAACAACTCTCAACACGGGGTCAAGCAGGAGAGCGAAGGTGCCGCCGGCTTTGGCAATCCGTTGAAGCGATCGCGGGACGGCAGCGACGGCAACGGCTGGGCGGACAAGAGCAAGACCAGCGAAAACGAGACCGCGTTGGTCACCCAGAAGATGTTCGAGGATTGGAGAAACCTGAACACGCAGGATCTCGTCACAGGTACGGGTCTTCTTGTGTGTCGAGTGTGTATCGTGTGTGTGTGTGTGTGTGTGTGTGTGTGGTTTAATAATCACTGACTGATGAACGCGATCGGTGCAAAGACATGATGCACCAACACGGGGCGACGTCGCTTTGGGGCGTGGTCACGTTCTCGCCCGTGCTCGTTGCCCGCCTCATCGCCGACCAGCTGGAGCGCAAGTCCCGGATCGAGCACTGGTTCGCTTCGTTTGTCGAGGCCTATCTCATCAAGGTAATCACAACTAATTCTCGGTTCGCCCACGCTGGGCGCCCACACTGCTAATTCGTTTCGCGGTGTGTGCGATGTGTGCCTACGTAGGACCTGTTGCTGGATCATCGGGACACCAACTCGGCCTGGTACGCTGCGGTCCCGTTCACCAACAAGGACGGCACGGCCAACGCCTTCTCGGACCCCACCATCGACGCCAGCAGCGTCAGCGGCGGCAGTCGCAACACCGTCAAACTGCTCTCCGATTCGCACGTGTTCTGCATGCAGTGGCGCTGCTTCTCCTCGCAGGTCAGTCAGTCAGCCAACAGCGCACCTCTCTCCTTCTCTTTCTTTCTTTCGCTCTCTTTCTCTTTTCTCGCTTTCTTAGCTCTGTCGTTTTCGCTTTTTTTATCTCACGCAAGCGCCGGTGGTGCACACGAAACTGCGCAGGTTCTTCGAAGGCTCGAAAGCAACCGCGCGAGCACCGTGGCCATGTTCGCGATCCTCTTCGCGTGGATCGACGCCCTGCTCGACTTCTTTCTCGACAAGCGACGCGCCCAGTTCCTGTCGCTGTCGACAACGAAGCGCTCTACTGCCGCCGCCGCCGGTGCTCCCAACGAAGTCGCGTCATCGCCGTCTCTCGCCGGCAGCAGCGACGGCAGATCGGACACGCCGGTGCACTTTCCAGCATCGTCGCCCGCTCCGGAGCGTAGCGGGTAAGCCCCCCCCCCCAATAGCCCTCTGTGCCGCTACTCTGTTTTACTTTTCTAAATCTTTATATTTCTGTACGTTACATATCTGTATGTTTATCGATTTCTATTTTATTTTCATAATCTCTAGCTTTGTCTAAATGGCTCTCCATGCATATTTTTCTCCATTGTATGCGCGCGTGTCCATGTCTGGTGTGCACGTAGCGCCCACCACGCAACGGCCGCTGCCGAGCATCATCGACGGCAGCAGCAGCAGCAGCAGCAGTACCACCAACAGTACTCTCATCAGTATCACCAGCAGCCTGGTGGCGGTGGTGCTGGCGGAGGTAGTGCGGCGATGCCGACGCCCGACCTGCGACAGCATGTGCCGCTCCGGCCGTTCCCGAATCAACAGCACTACTACCACGAGCTGCTGCAGCAGCATCACCAACAGCAGATGCACGCCATGATGACCGCGCAGGCGCAACACCGCGCATCGTCATCACCGTCGACGGCGACGGCAGCGACGCCCGTCGAGTCGCCCTCGCAGGCGCCTTCGGCCGCCTCGCAGCGCGTGCCATCATCGCCCGGCAGCGCCGGGTATCGAACGCCGCTCTCGCCGCGTCAGCCGCCAGCCAAGCGACAGCGGAGCCCGACGACGCCCACGACCTCCGCCGCCGCGACGCCGCCGACGCTGATGTCGCACCTCTTCCAGTTCAAGCAGAAGCCGACCCCTTCGCCCACCTCCACCTCCGCCAACAACGGGTCTGGTCCGTCCCAGCCCTCGCAGGCCAGTCCGCGCCTGGGCATGTCGCCGCCGTCGCTGCCGACGGTGCCCTCGAAGCTTCGATCGCCGTCGGAGGTGATGAGCCAGCTCGGGCTGCCGCAGTCGCTGCTCGCCCGCATGCAACGCAACGTGGCCACCTCGACGCCGCCGGCCTCTTCCACTTCCTCTTCCGCCTCCGGCAGTGAGAGCAGCGCCACCAACGACTCAGCACGCAAGTCCGCTGGTGCGCAAGTCTCCTACTCGTCTGAGTCGTCGCCCACCGTTCCCTCTTCACCGCCCTCCTCGCCAGCCTCGCCGGGCGCCTCGTCTTCTTCATCCACCTCCTCCTTCACCGCGCCCCGCTACGTGGTCCAACGATGATGGGCGTAGCGGACAAGCGAAGAAAAAACAACAAATAAATCGAATCAAAGAATCGATTGTCATAAATGCATGAACTGAAAGAAAGCTGGTAATCTTGCTTGGCACCACAACAAGAGCAAGGAGCAAGATGACCTTCGAGGCCAACGCATCACGCATCACGGAGCAGCTGTGGTTGGGCAATGCCAGCGCAGCCACAGGTACCCCCAAATCACCACAGCAAGTGTGTAACGGGGTTTCTTCATGTTTGGGGTTTCTTGAACATTGCAGCCCCGTTGGAGGAGCTCAAGGCGCAGGGCATCACCCACGTGCTCACCCCCGCCATGATCGCCGGCTTCACCCACCGCCTCTACGCCGAGGTGCGCGGCCTTTCCTGGTCTTGTTACGCCCAGAGAAAAGTAAAGTAGTAGCTCACCCCGTGAGGTTGGGGTTGGTGGCCGCTTGCGCAGGATCTGGTCTACCTCCAGTACCACATCGCGGACTTGCCCGGCTGGCCCATCATCCCGCTGTTCCCTGAGGCCAGCCGCTTCATCAGCGATGCCATCGCATCTGGCGGCTGCGTACTTGTGCACTGGTGCGCCCAATACCCAGCTGCTCATTGCTCCTTGCCCGTACTCACCACAGCGATTGTTGTATTCTTTTCCGCACCAGCGCGAATGGAGTCTCGAGGAGCGCGTCGTTTGTAATTGTGCGTCTGCTGCTCAGGCCTTGGCATTGCGTTGTGATGTACAAAGAAGTGACGAGCACCACAACCGGGTGTATGCAGGCGTATCTTATGGAGGCCAACGGGTGGTCGTTCGCCGACGCAAAGTACCACGTGCGCACCCATCGGCCGCAGATCAGCAGCAAGTTCGAGGAGCAGCTGCGACTCTGGGAGGGCATGCGGTGCAGCCTCGACGGCGACACACCAGCGCACGCCACCGCCCGCAGACAGGGGGTGCTCTCCCGCCACGTCAAAAATCGGGCTGCTCCGGTGGTAAAAGACAAAAATGATTCCGGCGAGTGTTGATCTCGCGACCTCAAGCGTGTTAGGCTTGCGTGCTACCGTTGCACCACGGAATCTTGTCCAATCCACTTCACCACACCGCCTTCATTCTTGTATAATATATTACAATCCCTCCCCACCTGGCGGGTAAATTTACCTGCCAACGTTGGGACAGGTACTTTGGGCTTCAGACTCGCCCTGAGAGGGGCAAAAAGGAATCTTCCGCTGCCGGGAATCGAACCCGGGGCGCATGGGTGAGAACCATAAATGTTACCGACTACACCACAGCGGATGTGGTTGCTGCACAGCATTTCTGCAGCCATTTCTTTACCCGCCCAGTAAGCCATGCACGTTCCGATGCGACACGTGCCTTGGTTTACTTTCTTTCATCTCCAGGACGTGGCACAAGAAGTGCTTGTGGTGTGCTGTCTGTGTGTTGCTGCGAGCGTGGTTATCTAGGTCATAACCCGAACCAACGAGCCAATGAGCCTTGCGCGTCGTTTGCGGCAACTGGCGGGGCCGCAGGCCGCACACAACCGCGGAGCTCAGCACAAAACTTCGCGGTGTGTCGTGCATTATTCCATCATTATCATCATCTACACATGAAGCTACAGCCTTCCTCCTCGCCCTCGTCTTCGTCGCGCTGGCCGTCGCCGTCGCCGCTGCCGACCAGCAGCTCGCCAATGATCAGGTGGTCGTGCGGGTCCAGGGCCAGTCGGGCAAGATCACCTTCTGGATCCCGGAGCGGTCGGACAAGAAGTACACCCTCACCTTCGACTCGCTCTGCGAGGGCAACGATTGCGTCAACACGTTTGCCTCGCAGCAGTTTGCCTTCTCGACGCCGGCCACGGTCAGATTCCACAACATCAGCGCCAAGCTGGTGAGCTTCGACTCGACCCTCGCCACCAAGAAGCAGAGCGGCGTCAAGCTGACGGCCGACCTCTACGTGTTCCTCGAGACGGGCAACTACACGGTGGGCGACCAGACCTTCTACGCCGTCGAGAACGCCTTCAAGTGGTCGGTCAACATCTCTGGCTGGGTCTTCGCCAACGCCGCCAACAAGCTCGAGCTCGGCATGGGCCTCCTGCACCCCAGCTACAAGGCCTCATGGGACGCCGCCAACTACACCCTCTCCTACCCCGGCGTACGCCCCTCCCGCCTCGCTTTCGTTCTTCTTCGCTTTCGCATTCCTTTCGCTTTCGTTCTTTCTGATCATGGTTCATCGCGAATCTACAGGAGGACGCAGTGATCCAGTTCGCCAAGACTGCCACGCACGACGGCAAGACTGAGGAAGCCGTCGCGGTGACCACCAAGGTCAAGGGCTCCAACGTGGACATCGTCATGGCCTTCAGCTCGGCCGAGTCCAGCATCTGGTATGACCCGCAGGTTACCGTGGCCACCGGCGCCGCTTCATCGGCCTCGAGCTTCCTCTTCTCCCTCGGGGCTCACCTTCTCTCGCTCCTGAGCTAGAGGAAGAGTTCTCTCTTCTTATTTATTTATTTATTTATTTATTTGCCGGACGCTGGCACGCGACATAAACTATTATATAATATTCATTTTGCCCTTGGCATATTTCTGTTTAATTTTTGGCGAGACAAGTCACGTAATTGGAGAATGCGGTGGCGTAAAGAATGAAGAAAGGATATGGTGGCCACCAACCGTGGGGCACAGCTCACCGACCAAGTACTAAAGGCTTTCAAGAGGCTCCAATGTTCAACAAACAGTGATCCAACCAAACCACCCCCAGCTACAATCAACCGCAACCCGACCACTACCATGAAGACCACCACCCTCACCGCGCTTTTCCTGTTTGCCTGCCTGCTTGTGGCTTCGGCCCTTGCCGACTCTGGAGAAAGCGAACGCCGCCCTGGTCGCCCCGGCGCTGGTGGCTCTGGGCCTCGACCTGGCAATTCTGGTGGAGCCACTGGACCCGGTGGAGCCCCTCAACCTGGTGGCTCTGCTCCCAGTGCCCCCAGTGCGGAGGAGGACGACATGACCACCTTGTTCAACAGCATCAACGGAGCCAATGGCAGTACGTCCTTTTTCACCATCAGGCCTTATGTCTGGACTGCAATTCCTTCTTCTAAGATCTGACACTACCAACCAACCCGGTCAATCAGTCATGGGTACGGACACGTTCGCCCAGCTCTCGGCTGCGACCAGCGGCCATCATGGGCTGCAGAAGCTCGAGATCAACATCAACATCAAGGTCGTCCTCGTGAAGATCGGCGACAAGATGCACACCATGGCCGCGTAGACCAAGAAGCCCGCCCTCGCCCCAACCTCCGTATCATCTGCACAATCAGTAACATTTGAAAAAGCCATTCGCCAGATCTATTCTGCCTCTTTGTCTCACTTCGCACAGAACGAAAAGGTCGTGAAAGTAGTGCGTGTTTTGTTTGCGAGTGTGCCGCTGTGAGTAATTCCATGATGGACGAACTCTAGACGGTGACGAGGTCGTGGTTGATCGGGCCGTGCTTGTCCTGCTTGAGCGCCTCGTAGTGGTGATGGTGGCTGTGGTAGCTCCCCTTGGCTCGCGGGTTGTGCTGCACGACGTAGCCCTGGTGCCCGCCCGAACTGCTGTGCGAGGCGGCCACCACGCCCGCAAAGCAGAGGCAGTACACGATCACGCAGCCGGCCAGGATCAGGCAGCAGCACCCGCCCAGCGACGAGAACACCACGATCAGAATCAGCACCGTCAGGCTCATCGCCAGCGTATCTGCCGAGTCAGGGCAGATCCCACTCGACCTGAGATGTGTGTGTGTGTGTGTGTGTGTGTGTGTGTGCGGTGATGTGTGCGTGCGTGGTCGTGTGTGCGTGAGACCCACTGACACACGAGGTTAGCTGAGCTGACACGCGGGCGCACCAGTTCTTGTGGTCGCAAGTGGCGGGAGCGTGGCAGTTAAAGGCTGACGAGTCGTTGCGGCACGGGTAGCAGGTGCCGTTGTTGTTGTGGCTTCCGCACCACCCGCAGCCGTGGCTCAGGCCCACCGCCTGTAAGCAAGCGAGTCCCATCAGTAAGTAGTGAACAAGACCGTGTTCTGCTGTCAACATCACACAACGTACAAAGCATTCAGTGCAGTTGAGGGCATCCTGGCACGTGAGCACCTGGTGTACTGGGAGCTGGGCGCCTTCGACGACCTGCCAGTGTTGAACAGCGCACGTAGATAAAATAATCCATTAAAAATGCAAACAAAAAGGACGTCATAACAAGCACCAAATCTGGAACATCTCTCCCCCCATAAAGAAGATCTCACAAGATGAGAGATTGATGAGAGTGGGAAGTGAGGGAGAGAGATGAAAGATAAGGGGAAAGTGGGTTTTGTTGGTACCGCTTCTTGAGACACGACCACGGCAGGCAAGAGGGCCAACAGGATGACTCCCACTGACAGAAGGGCACAGACAGCAAATCGTTGAGGAAAGCCCATTCAAATCAGTACGTCGATTGGATCAGATGAAAACGGAGGGCTGTGTGTTCGTTTTCCTCGTCGTTCGGTTGCGGTTCGCATCCCACCTTATCCCACCCCGAAAAAGTGGGAAATAAGATATAAATTCTAAACAGAATATTAAATAGAAACTGGTAGATCTCAGAACTAATTCACCAACAAATCAGGATCATATATTGAAATGAGACCGTAGTTGGAAGAAAAACACTCTGGTCAAAACAGTTGAGCAACATCAAGTGAATGCAACGTACGATCCTCATTTAAATCAAATTATACGGGCTAATGATAAATCTCTCATACAGAAGAGGAGGAGCAGGGAGTGGCGGCCACTGCCGTGGCGTCGCAGGTGCCGGCCGAAGATGAAGAGGAAGACCTGCTGGACGTGAAGGCGGAGGAGTTCCGCGAGTTTGCCAAGTACGTGGAGGACAACCTGCGCACGCAGGTCGATCGTGAGTGCACGCAGTCGGGCCAGGAGGCCGTCGACTTCCTCGCCGAACTCGCCGACGCGCCGGACCTGGTGGCCGACAAGGTGCGCCAACTGGCCGCCCTCGTGCGCGGCGCCAACCACTTCGTCATCTACACTGGCGCCGGCATCAGCACCGCCGCCGGACTCCCAGGCACGACACACATCACACGACAGGACCAACGACACGACACGACACGGCCACCGACACGACACGCGGCACACGCACTCACACATTCACTCACACGCTGGTGTACGTGAGATAGACTACAGAGGGCCGAAGGGGATCTGGACGCAGCGGGTCATGGGCGGCACGCAGACAGACGAGGACGCCCGCGGGCTGGGCCAGCTGCTCGCCGAGTCGTCGCTCCACCCGACAGCCGCGCACCACGCCTGCAAGGCCCTCTTTGATGCCGGTATGCGCGAGGCCATGACCTTCTTCAACCAATTCCGCGACTGATCGTGGGCGTGTGCGGTGGTGTGCGGTCGTGCGTGTGCGTGTGCGTGTGCGGTGATATGTGTGCGGTGGTATGTGTGCGGTCAGGCTACCTACGATTCCTGATGACGACCAACGTGGACGGGCTCCACAGGCGCAGCGGGTTCGTGCGATCGGAGAATCTCGCCGAACTGCACGGCAACAGCTTCGTCGAGGAGTGCGGCGAGTGCGGTGCGGTATTCGACCGAGACTACGTCGTGCGCACGGCCAAACGGATCTACGACCACCACACCGGGCGGGTACACAACGCACGAACGCACGCACACACGCACGCACACGCTAATGTGTGGCGCTGGTTGGATACAAAAGACGTGCGAGAAGTGCGGCAAGCAGGCCCTGCGCGACATCATCGTCAACTTTGGCAACACGGTCGAGCACGTGCCCTCCATGGAGAGTCAATACGACCTGTACCACTCCCTCCCTCCTTCATTCTCTTCGTCGTCGTCTTCACCATGGTGAGGCACACCGCTCACGTCCGATGCGTGAATCTCGGCTGTGTGCAGCGCGTGGGTGAACTCGATCAAGGCCGACCTGTTCCTCGTGCTCGGCTCTTCCCTCTCCGTGCCCACCGCATGTACGGGCTTCTGTCGTCTGTGCTCCCTGAGCTCTGCTCACGACGCCCACGCCCACGCCCACGCATGCACACGCACACGCACACGCACACACGGCACATGACACACACCGACAACACAGGTGATCTGCCGGACTACTGTGTGGAGAAGGGCGGGAAGGTGGTGATTGTCAACAAGCAGCGCACGCCCAAAGATGGTTCCGCCGCGCTGCTCATCCACGCGCCGTGCGACACCGTGATGTCTCTCCTTCTGGGCGAACTCAACCTTCGCGCCTAACACGGGACCTGCGAACTCGACTTTGTGGCTTTGCCGCCGCGTCAACAAGGGGACGATTTTGTTTTATTTGTTTATTTTGTTTATTTTTATTTGTTTTTTAAACAGCGCAGGACCGCGTCTGGGGCTACTTGAGGTTGATAGGGTTCTTGGCGAGGTACTCCGCCAGGGTGGTCAGCTTGCCGCGCGCCTGCTGGGTGGTCCACTCGATGAGCTCCCTCTGCCGCGGGCCGAAGTAGCCGTGGTCGCGGTACAGCGCCATCATCTCCACCATGTTGTCGGCCAACTGGGAGCTGCCATCGGACCCGGTCATGAATCCGCGGAAGACCTCCTCGGGCAGCTCAGTGTACCGGACCGTCTGGCCCGTCGCCTCGCTGATCGTCTGTGCGATCTCGTCCATTGAGTACAGCCGCGTGGCCGCCACGAATGTCGCGCCAGCGTACTTGTCGGGCTCGGCCAGGATGGCGCCGACAAACTTGCCGGTGTCGCCGGCTATGTCGATGAGCGGTAGCTGCGTGGTGGGCTTGAGCATGTTGGCGAGGGTGTAGGTGCCGTCGCCCACCGGCCGCGGGGCCATCACCGTGTGGAAGTTCTTCATGAACCCCCCGGGCGAGAAGAAGGCGCTATTGAGGGGCAGGCCGCGTATGTACTCCTCCACCTCGGCCTTGGTATCGAAGACCACCACCTGTAGCCCGTCGACGCCCGAGATCTTGGCGGCTCGCGGCGCCGTGCTGAAGATGAGGTACTGCGCGCCGGCCGCCACAGCCGCATCGGCAACCGCCTTGCCCTGGCTGATCTCCTTCTGGGCACCCCCGCGCTGGTGGACCGTGTTGGTCATGACGAACACCGTGTGGGAGCCCCGCAGGGCCTGCGCGACGGATTCGGCGTGGTCCAGGTCGCCCTGGACCACCTCGACGCCCTTCTGACGCAGCGCTTGGCCCGCGGGCTTGGAGGGGTCGCGCGTGACCCCCCGGACCCGGTATTGCTTCGACAGTTCGGGGTCGTTGATGACGTGGTCCACGATGGAGCCGCCCTGTTGGCCAGTGGCGCCAAAGACTACGAGAAGCTTGCTCATGGTGTTGGTGGTGATGGTGGTGATGGTTGAATGTTTGCGTTGGGAAGGGGTAAACGCGGTTTTGCATGTCGAACATATACTGCCATTGGTGCAGTTTAAGGAAACTTGTGGATTGTTGCGAGTGACCCAGTGCTTTGTTGCGGACCAATCGCAACAATTTAAACTGTGCGTGTCGCTTTTGTCCGACACCTCCGTGACAGACACCTCTTGTATCGCCAGTCTCTCGTCGGCCTTCTTCTTAGCCGCAGGATCATGCTCGGCCCACTGCCGGGCCATCTCCTTGCGGGTCATCTTCCTCTGATGAGCAAAGCAAGGCGTCCAGCCAAGCAAAGCAAAGAGGCTTTGAAGGCCAAAATGCACATACCGTGCTCGTTGGTGAGCTTGGTGAATGCATGAGTGTTGGGTAGCGACGAAGCAGAGCCCTGCCACGCCTGCTCCACCTGGCAAAGTTGATGCATCGAGGAGCGATGTGTATAGCCGCACGGGCTACAAGTGGAGATGCAATAGCACTTGCTTCATCTTCACTATTGGTTGTCTACTGTTGGCTGTCCTGGTGGTCATTGTTGTTGTTGTTTGTTGTCGACGCGCAAAACGGCCCCCTTTCCACGTCGTAACGAGCGAGACGGCGCCTAGGCGCCGGCCTCCAGGACCTTGGCTCTGGAATGCGCCGCCAACCAGGCGTCACTGTCGACTAGGGCTTTGCATCTGGCCAGCCAGATGTGGTGTGGGCCCTTAGCGATGGTGACAGCAATGCTACAAGCTGAGCTTCCTGCATCCGTGTTGGTTTCTGGGAGCCAGGATCAGAGCAGCTCCAGGTGTGCAGCGCCAGTAGAAATGGTGGCGCACGGCCTGGACAGGGGCAGGGCGCTCTTTGGATTCAGTTCCTGCTTGGAATACTTAAGTTTAATTGACAAAAATTCAAAAAATATGAAATTATTAACTATTTTGCAGCATTTAAATCCTTCTCCGTGGAGACAAGCTCGTACTCGTATCGATGCGACGCGCCGGGCTTCGTGCGCGAAGCGCGAGCCGCCGGTGGTCGTTATGGTGCAGTTTGATTTATTTGTTCTGATTTATTTGTTTTGTTTTCAATTACAATTTAGATTGAATGTTGGAATCTCATGTTGTCGGTCATCGTCATCTTCTTATGTTGGCGCCCAGGGCGATTGCCGGACTCCTGTTCTTGGTTATTCTGGTGACGGCCAACATCTACATGTACCTCAGCGTCATTCGTGTTCCACCTCCCGCTGGCGACCCGCAGCTTCCCGCCCCTGTACGTGCATGACACACGGCATGGCACGACACGACACGAAGCGACACACGACATTGACATTCATGACAACACGACACACGACCATACAGCACGACACGACACGCCAGTCCAGAGGTTCTGGCCCGGTGCTGCGACCACCGGCGGTGGGGACACTGGCGCAAGAGTTGGCCGCCTACGAGTTCACGCACATCAACGATCAACAGCTGTCCGACGAGCACATGTCCATCTACCGAGGCAAGTCCGTGTGTCGTGTGTCGTGTCGTGTGTCGTGTGTGGTGTGTGGTGTGTCGTGTGTGGTGTGTCGTGTGTCGTGTGTCGTGTGTCGTGTGTCGTGTGTCGTGTGCCGTGTGGTGTGTCGTGTGCCGTGTGTCGTGTGTCGTGTGTCGTGTGGTGTTGCGATCTAAACGTGGAGGCGGGCGGTCGCAGGGTTCGGGCTGTACTCGATGTCGACGCACGTGGGTCCGATCTCGGACATCAAGGACTTCCTGGTGCCGCGGTTCGGCATCAAGGTGACCGATCTCAACTTCCACGAGGGACACTGCGCGCGCGTGGGCAACTGCGCGGTGAACCAGGGCCTCAAGGTGCTTCTCTCTTTCTCTTCTCTCTCTCTCTCTCTCTCTCTGTGTGT